ACGTTCCAATTTGTAAATCGATCATTCGATGCGGAACGTGAAATGATATTTTAAATATTTTATATTTTATTATCTTATTAAAAATTGTGATTTGACGGAAAATATTAAAATATTTATAATATTACTTGTACTTTCGAAACGAATATAATAGGTCCGGAGATAGGGATTAGCTCTATCTAGTGGGCCCAACTGTGTAGGAACCTGAAGACGGAGATAGAGTCACATCTCCGAAACGTCGTTTTACGTTTTATATTTACTAGACGATGGATAATATCCAAGAAAGTTTTTATTCAATTGAATATTTTAACACTGATTTTCAGTCAAATGTACTTAAAGATTTCTGTCTTCTGGGACTTTGCGCTGTGTAGTCTGGTAGATGTTTACCAACGTTTCAGAGGTCATACTGCCTCCATCATCAGGGCGATTCATACGCAACAACCCAGAAGACAGAAATCTTCATATTGTGAAAACTCAAATCTTACAAATGTACTTAAATTTGTGCAATTGTGTATTAATGAATACGATAATTTAAAATAATTTTAATTTATTTTCAAGTCGAATTAGAACACCTTAGCAGACTTGTATACTTAAAACAATAAATAAATTTTGCACCAACTTTTAAGATATGAAAAAATTCTAGTAACGTGCCACATAATTTTTGAATTTTTTATATATATATATTTGTTTCTATTTAAAAGCGGTTGGAAATCAGTGGTAGCATACTGCCTCCGTCATCATCGCCCTGATGACGGAGGCAGCAAGACCTCTGAAACTAAAGCTGGAAAGCTAAAACTATTGTCGTACTATTTGTGTCAGTAAACCACGTGGTATGTAAATAATGATTGCTTCCAGATTTGTTCTTTACTCTACATAATTAGGCACTAATTTCTTGAACATTGTGTTTCGTGATTGAATGCTTTCGTTTACAAAAATTTGTTATCCAATTCTAAAAGAGTTAACCCTTTGATTCTCCGTCAAATGGAGCAGAGGCTGTCACCCGATCCGTCATTACCTTCTAAAACTGACGTTTCAATTATATAAAAGACTCCCAGATGGCAGCGGCTGTTTCAGATAGTTTATAGCTTAGTTCATACTTTCCTCAACAGATCGATCCTGTAGGCGAACAAGAATATTTTGTTTGAACAAATGAAATTCGTTGAGCTCAGATGTGGATCTCGTGGCTTGTTTACAATTACTGCTTGCTATGATATGTGTTTAACCTTGCAGTTGTGTTTTTAGTTAAAGTTTATATAGTGCTTATGATATATTTTTCGTTAGTTTATTGTGTATAGGTTTAGTTTTTTTTTAAGATTTATTATTTCGACAATGGCTGGTCTAAGTTCAAGAGTGGGTGTTGGCGATATCTTAGGTTATGTAGATACTATAGTGACATTATTCCGGAAAGTGAGTCTGATTGTACTGAAAGTGATGATGACAGCTCTCCAGAAACAACAGGCCCACCTGCTGACATTATGACCGATATTGAAGGTACGTGTACATTATTTTTACAAAAAGTGTTGTAGTTCGGGATCAGATAACAGTACAGACACAAAACTCATATCGAATTATGCAGAAATAAATGTTCTTTCTTGCAGGATGAGTGATGAAGAATGAAAACAAAAAACAATTTATGATTTTATCCCCTGAAAATGTTTTTGTAAATATTTCTTTCAATATTATAACATTAGAATTTATGAGATAATATTTTTCTATTCAACATTATTTAGTGTATAAGTGTGATTTTTTTTTACATTATAATCTGTAAATACGTGAAAGTTGACCTGGGTATTTTAAACAGGATTTGACAAATAGGCTTCGAGGTTAAAAGGGGTAAGATGTATAAATTATTTAAAAAACTTTTCTATAGATTTTATTGAAGGAAGTGTGTCATATCAACAATGGATTACTATCTCTTTAAATAATTTAGTGTCGTTCTAAAAGTAATCACGTAAATACAGTTTCTAAGTGATGTGTCGTTTATTTATTTCTGTAGTCGGTGGTGCCATCTGTCTGAATACCAATACAGACATACTTCCGTGGTGTTAGATGCACGTAGAATAGTGAGTTGTAAAATTCCAGGAGTGGCTGTCCTCGTTATCTTAAACATTCAATAAAATGTCTGCCGAATACTTAAGCAACAATTTCTCTTATTTAATCTTCAATAGCTAAGAAGAAGTGTTTTTAAGTTTTTATTTTAATTATACATATCGTGTCTTTCACTACGAGCATGAAAAATCAAAGTAGCTTGGTGTGAAGCACGTAGCACGTCATTCCACAGAGTAATTAATCCTTCAGTTTGTTTATATACCTGTATAAGCAGACGGCACTCCTAAACGTTTAACATTCAAACTTAAGACAGGCGCCATGATTTAAACAAACACTTCAGATGTGCTGGTAGGTGAACGTTCTCATTATGAGAGCACGTGTAATACGGTCTTTTGTAACGACAGATAAGCAGATAACCAATTTTCTTCTTGTGATATACATGAAGTCAGTCTGAAGAGTATTTTATATTCATTTACACTGCATTTAAATCAATCAGAGCTTAAACCAGAGATCAGAATTACAGTCTAAACCTAATGAAATTAAACTCGTTTGCAGGTAACTTACAACAGCAAGGATTCTTTCGGTCTTTATAAAACCAAAAAAAGTTCATTAAGTCAGGAACCTGGTCATTTCGTACGTGAAAACATGAATGACTATTAAACATTTATAGCCCAGTGGTAACTACATTTTAAATAATTAATAACTTGAATTTTTGTTAAACAGCGTTAACCAGTCGATCTTTCGTAATGGTGAAGTGTTGTGTTTTCTTCGCGGTACGGACTGGATTCTTAAATACGATTTGCCGAGCTTCGCGTTTAAAGGGTTAAGGCTTTGACCGGGATGTTCTTTTGTTAAATCTTATGTGGTACCGCCTGATTCGACTTCTAATGGTTAAGTGAAGTGTTTTCTTAGCGGTACGGTCTGGATTCGTAAATATTATGAAGACGAGCTTCGGCTTCAAAGGGTTAACCAGCTGATTTTCGTAATGGTGCGGTGTAGTGTTTTCTTCGCGGTACGGACTGAATTCTTAAAAATTATTTTATGGATATTTGCTTAGAAGGGTTAAAGATCCCATTTGGGAATCCTGTCACCCAGATAAGCTGCTTTTGACGAATATTTGTTTAACTTTATAAGAACAGCTTTCAGTTCAAGGTCACCCCATGTTTCGGTTTTATCTCCTTGTCATCAAACCAACATGGCGGAGGGGCGAACTTTTGAGGTGAGAACAGCATCGACGCTAATCAGTGTGTGGTCTTTAGGTGTTGAATGTTTAAAGATCTCTTCTCTGACGTGAATTACAATCTTATTAATTATTAGGAGAAATGTAAATGACAGAAACATCGGGCTTGAAGCGATGACTGATGAATTTTGGTAACCTGGCGAAATACAGAAACTTAAAAGAATTGTGTACGCAAGCTTTGTGCTTGGATTTGACTTGAACTGGTGCAGAACTGTGCCTCTCTCTTCCGTCATACTTTGTCCTCCGAAACGTCCTTTCAGATTAAACAGTATATTCGTCTTTATTATTTACGTTATTAATTACAAAGAAATTATACGTCTTTTGTAAGTTTCTATATGAGCCGGCGTGGCTCAGTCGGTATAGTGACTACTGGCTACGGACTAGACGACCGGGGTTCGATCCCCGACGGGGGTAGAGCATTTTTCCTTTAGCCTCAACATCCAAACCGGCTCTGGGGCCCACCCAACCTCTTATCCAATGGGTACTGGGATCCTTTCCCGGGGATAAAGCCGGCCAGGGCGTGATGCTGACCACTCACACCATCTAGTGCCGAGGTCAAGAACGAGTAGGAGCTATACGACCTCTCCCCCCAAGCGACCTAAATGGCGTATAGTGGGATGGATTTAATTTAATTTTTACTTGAAAGTTTCTATGTTTCAACCTTTCGAAAATGCCTTTGCTCTGACGCGTTCTTGCACAAGGAGAATGAAGTGAACTCAGGATCGGGAGGTCGTTTGCATGTCTGTCCTCATGATGAGCTTCGAAACTGCCGAACACTGGAAGTTGTCAAATTAATTTAATTTTGTAAATTGTGTACTTCTGGGCTGTGACTCCGTGTTACTAACGTTTCGGAGGAACGTGTCGCTTCCATCTTCAGCGTCACAACAGAGATGAACACAGACGACATCTTGACGGTCACTAAGTCCTCTACAAACATGAAGAAGGCACTTCTGTGAGTTATCGAATCATATCTGATAGATTCCAAGGCGCTTTAAATTAACATAAGGCAGTGTTTATGCAAACTATGTCTCATGACTGTAGTCGGGAAGAATCTGTGCGCTTTGCATATGTCATTTGCTGGCGGGCAGAAGGAAAACAAACGAATATACAATGTAAACGAAATACAATATCAACATAGGAAATGAGACAGCGAGCTACAAAGTCTTGCCAAAGGGAAATAATGTTTGTGGTATGCTACCCGGGGTCCACAGTGGTCGCTGAGACCGTGGG